CCCCCCCCCCCCCCCTCCTGTTGAAGAACCTTGGAATTTCCAGGAAAGAGGTGCATTAACTTTCAAATTTCTTGGGGAGGAGGTACATTAACCTTGGAATTTCCAGGGGAGGGGGTGCATTAACCCTGGAATTTCCAGGGAAGGGGGATCCAGGTTCTGAAATTCCAATGGGAGGAGTCATTTTTACATGGAATTTCCAGAGGGAGGAGTAAATTAAATGGGAGGGAAAATTCATGGGAGGACATATGTTAGAGGATGACGAAAATGAGCTGATTTTAACCTGCAAAATACAAAGTTATCTACTATAAATTAATATAATGTGTTTCAATACTAGAATTTTGATGTTAATTACCAGGTAAATCTGTCAATTTTGATAAAAATTTGAAAGGAAATTTTGCTGAAAAAAAGAAGATTCCGGATTATTAAAAGGAAACTATTTTTTTGGAGTGGAAACACTGGGTTTGTTGACGGCGTTTCGAAATTTGTTGAAAGCGTTTCGGGTTTTGTTGATTGAAATTTTGCTTGCTTGCATCTGGCACAAATTATAAGGTTGACCTTGAAGGAAACTTTTGTTGGTTGTGAAACAAAAATCGATGTTGATATAGACGGCTTTTTGAATAGTTGAATTTGGAACGGAATTAATGTTGACGTTGAATCGGTTTGTTGAATGTATTATAGAAAGGTTATTGATGTTGATCGGCGTTTGTTGAAACTCGCAGACTTTTAATGCTTGAATTTTGCACCAAATCGCTTTCCATAGCCTTCGGTTAGAAAATATGGCTTTTATCTTATTTTTTTGAATGAAAAAGCCTTTATGTAGACAAGACTAACAAAACTTACATAGATGAGTGAAATTCTAAGCTATAACGGGGTAATAACTTACGTCTATAGCGGTTCGCTATATACGTAAGTTGGGGGGGGGAGCAAGAGTATTTTCGTGACCCGTGATTAGCAATTATTCGTGCTTCGTGATTTGAAGCAATACCATTCCGTGAATCGTGATTAATATGCGTGCCGTGAATCGTGAAGAGCTAAAAGGGCTAGCCAGGGTCTTGAATTTTCCAATAATATACCCTAAATTGTGAATGTTTACGTTTAAAACTCGGCCCAAATTTTATATTAACGTTAAAAAAATGAATAAATTTGCTTCCCGCGGTTGTCTTTCTTGAGCTTTCTTCGTTTCATCGTAAACGTCGTTCTCGTGTACCTTCGTACCTCTTCGTAGACGTTAACAATCGTAAGACGCTCTTAATGTTTTGTAATGCCTCACAATGATTTCCATAGTCTTTTAAAAGCTCTAATGTTAAAATCAGTAAAATGTGTTTGTGTTAACAACAATTTCTGCTGTCTAGAAAATTGTTAAATGGTTTCAGACTTTGTTTATACGCTTCTGTGTTTCTAAAAATCGTGAAAATGAAATTTTGTTTTTCGTGACTCGTGAAATCCAAAAATAATCTTTGTGATTTCGTGAAGAGATCCCCCCCCCAAGTTAAAACTACAACTGTCTCGAACATTTTTATGTAAATTATTAATAAGTAATAGCATGGTTTCTTGTGAAATTTGGATAAACATGCACACGTGAGTTTTTCAAAGACTTCAAATAGCACTTGCGTCCATCGGACTCGTGTTATTTTGAGGTATTTGAAAAACTCACTCGTGCATGCATGTTAATCCAAATTGCACACGAAAGCATGCTATTACCAATTTTATATCGGAAGAAATATGAATTTGAAAAAAATTCTCGGTGAACGCTTCCCGTAAAGAATCCGAATAAATTTGCGCCCGGATATATATGTTTTTGAATCTTATTATAACAAAATTCAACAGTCAAACATGATCAAAACATCCCACAATAACAGTAACAGTGTTAATACAGTGACACTTAATACGGTGACTTACTACACTTCTGCAATACAGTGAATATACTTAATAAGTGACAATCACTGTGTCAGACATGCAGCATAGTGTACGCACTTCACAAATCTTTATAGTTGAAAAACAAGGTCAAGGAATCCGGACACTCTTCACAAATCCGGAGACTTTTGCCTCAGAAGATAAGAATCGTATTAGGTTAATCGTGTACAAGCTTTAGGCAAAATTTAAAATTAAGGTTCTTTTCCATTCACGCTAACGTCGGGTACTGGCTGACTGGATAACAGTTCACCATAATGAAGTCAAGGTTAATTTCGGATTTTGCCGTGAATTTAACAGTTTTTACTTGATTTCATTTTTGTTGTGTACACATGGTATAACAAATATGTTGCTAAGACACTACTATGCTTTTTCTTGTAAACAAATGAATTAAAACAGCAAAATCATTAAAACATTTGTATTGCATGACTGAACTGCTATAGATTTGCAAGTTTTACCACGATAGAATTTCTTCTCGGCAAGCGCGACGAAAAACTCAACATGAACATTGTTAATTCACAGAAATATTCGTCCCGCTAGGCCACACGTCAAGATGAAAGAACCTTAATAAGGAAAATTACTAAAGAGCTTTGGTACTTTTGCCCGTGTTTCACAATGTAAATTTGTTCACGCATACCCTGGATCATGCAGTGGACCGGGTTTCCTGTTTAGGAGTAACGTGTATAGCTTGCACTCAGGCGTACTGTACATGCCTATAAAATACGCCTGGCACCATAAAACCTCTACACTAAGGGTACTAACAGTAGTTCACGCAAAGCAAAGGTAGAAAATAACTTCGGAAATGTGATTAGTTAGTAAAAAAAATAGGATCATGCAGTTCCTAGTTTTGTAGCTGTTTTCGGTCCCGACGAACTTCATTTGTGTAACGCGTATGCAGTAAGCTCCCTGCAAAACTATGTAGTGTGTATAGTAACCTCATTCAACTGCCTGGGTAAAAACTAAAGCTTAGCTTGAAGAAATTTAGGAAACGTCATTGTGAGAATGAGCCCGTTGTTCAGTACCCTGTTGTAACAAACTATTATAAAACTAAAATATTGTACTAATTAAAATAACATATATCAAACATGCAGCTAGGAAACTGAATAGCATGCAATACTTACTATCTTCCTTTGTTCGCGTGGTCATTTTTGCTCCAATCTTTCCGAATCCAATCTTAGTGGCAGCTTGGACTGCGACTATATATTCCGTGTATTTCCCCAAGTTAGACAACGTTATAACACGAACATTACCCATGGTTTCCCGAACTGGTAAATTGCAGATATCCTCAAAAGAGGATGCATTCTTGTAGCAAACACGATATCGTGTTATTACACCATTTGCATCATATTTATTCAATTCGTCCCAGGTAACGTTGAGCGACGTTGAGCTATCAGCCATAACATTGATAACAGGCCCTTTAGAAGGCACTTAAATCAAAGAGAAACATTATATATTATACATGAGTCATGACAATCACGTCAACGAAAGACGTTTAGTAGGCGATAAAAATAATTCAAAACACACAGCACTCTTTGAGTTACATGAAAGTTTAGTCCATTCTCTGTATAGAGCATGTAGGAAACAAATTTAGCCCACTAATTTTTATCAATAGTTTGAATTTTCTCATAAAAAGTGAAGACCCCTCAATTATTGCCCGTTTAATCGATTAATTTACGTTATGAAGTATGTGTTCGTACGTTTTGTCAGCCGGACAGTGAATCATATTGTTTTCGAGACTGCTGGCTGGTATAATGGATTGGATACTCGTCGAAACAACAATGCATAGGAAAGATTTAAACAGCAAGAACAAAGTCTATGATAATAAAAAGTCATACATAAACAATTGAAACAAACTTGCCCTATACTTGAGGATTTCTCATACTAAATCAATTCTTATCATTAGATAGCTTAAGATCTACGACGTCGACGTCAGCTAGGACGTCAGGGCTATGCAGAGGACTGGGACTAGGATGTCGTCCTAATGTAGTCCCAGTTCTCTGCTTAGCCCTGACGTCCTAGCTGGCGTCGATGTCGTAGATCTTAAGCTGTCTAATGTTTACGTTTAAAAAATGTTTTACAATTTGTTATGTCAAACGATTTTCGAAACTTTCTTGCATGTATTTTTTACATTTTCCCCTTCTTCACTCCTGGAAAACACCCATATTTTGAGATCAGTGGAATGACCACCCATACACAATGCGCCCGCGATACTTGATGAACTTTAGACTTCGCTAGTGCGTGTAGTGATTGACAGTTATACATAATTTATAGAATAAATTATAATGCGCGGGAAAATAAGAACACATGTAATTAGGGCGAGAAGGAGAAACATCGAGTTTGTATTTAGTAAGTAAAGGAAAATATATAACTGTAACAGTTGTTTGATTACTACATTGGCAACGAAGATAAATTATGGCAATGAATGGCTTACAGCCAATGCCTTTGTTCGAACCGAAACCTGATCCAACGAATACAAGCGCTCGATGGACACAGTGCATTCAACGTTTTAACACATGTGAAGGACACTGCACGTAAAAGAGCACTATTATTGTATCAAGATGGACATGAAGTTCACGAGATATTCAAAACATTGCCTGACACAGGAGACGAGAAAAATTACGAAGCTGCTGTCAATGCCCTTACTGCATATTATATTATATATATATATATATATATATATATATACAGCTAATTCCAAAAAAGGTTGTTCGTTGCAACCCTTAAACTCTAAGCGTGCAAAGCTTAATGGGAGCTTCTTTTAATCAGTTTAGAAATCATGGATTGGGTCCATATGGGAGACATGGTAAATATCTCCTAATGAGAACAATTCATTCACAACAAATGTGATATTCAACTATTAAGCTTGAAACTTGTGCTCACATTTAGCTTTGTGCGCTTAGAGTTTAAGGTTTAAGGTTTAGAGTTTAAGGTTTGCAAAGGACAACCTTTTTTGAATTAGCTGTATATATAACAAAATTGTATACATTCTATACTGTAGATTCTTCAAAAAGAATTACAGTATATGAATGATCTGAAAATATTATTTAATACATTTTGAACTCAGCAATCATAAGGGTAGGGCAAAGTTTCAAGGGGCTAAGGAATATCCAGATGTACGATTCCCTTCACGAGCGAATACGTGAAGGGCATCGTACATCTGGATATTCGTTCGTGAAACTTTGGCGAACCAAGTTTATGTTGTTGCTACGGAGGAACTCTGATACCATGCATAAAAGCTCTCTGCTGCGGGGCACAAACAGCTCGAAAGCACAAATACCATGCATAAAAGCTCTCTGCTGCGTTTCAGCACAAACAACTCGAAAGCACAAATTCCATGGAAATTCCACGGAACTCTCATGGGAGTAAAATTGAATTCATAATGAAGCAAGAACAGCACCAACAGAGAAAAATGTAACATTTTCATAGGCTTTTCGGAGATTTGTACTCGGTATAATCCTGCCGAAATTTTATCATAAATGTAACAAATAGCGAACTTTTCATACATGAAATCAAATAAAGAATACCGTTTGTCACTTCCGTGCGCAAGCCACTTTTAGGAGAGCAAAAGTTGACCACCCCCCTGGATAGCAAAATTTACTATTTTAAATTTTTTTTATATTTTCCATAATTTAAGAACTCAAGCAATTGATACATATAAAAAATTACATTTCATGAACGGAATTGTGGAATTAAGAGCAATTTCAAAATTGTCTTACTTTTTATGATACACCCTGTATATACTTACTTCCTTTTCACACAGTTTCAATCAACAATAACTATACAGTTGACATAAATATATACAACAGAACAATATATATTTCTAAATCTAATTGTGGACAGCATATATACATAAAATACAAACTTACTTTGCCAACAGAGGTCGACATGCATGACCATGCATGCTTTATTATTGCAGTCTTCAGTCACAGTCCAACGCATTTTTGAAACTAATTTTTACTCACGCCAATAACCAGGATCGCCTAGAAGCGGGGGAGGGGCAAAAAGGCTATTTGCGTCCCCAGCTAATGGGGGGTCCTGCATGCATAAGGATAACTGAGTGAAGTATGCATAAAAACCACAGTTAAATATTCTCCCAGACTGCAGGAATTCTCATTCTAGATACTCTAGAGATTTCTAAATTTTCCCGAGCGGGAATATACCCGCAGACGCTCCTGAACAGAATACGCATTGAAAATTATATAGACATTCAAAACCGATGGAAATAATTAAATCTCAAAATAAAGTATCTACAAGAAGTGGGCTAGGGGCCTTCTATATAAGCTTCCCAATTGTCCTAAAAGTTTAATATGGAAACCAATCTATAAAAAAGCACATAACTTCAAGAATCGTTGACGACAGAAAATCACTTGGGCCCTGGACATTAAATTTGACGAGGGCCCCCAAAATTCTCAGTGCAGCCCTAGGGGCCTTATCAGTGGAATAATCTTCCCGTGAACACCCCATTCACATCACAAATGTTAATATGATTCGTTATCATATAGAATTATCAAAATGATTCATTAATAAATCGGAAGAAACATGCATAATACGCATTAAGAGCATAACTGTCAGCCAATATAAATCCAAGGAATTTAATAAACAAAAATTTGTATGTTAATTGTCAACATCCCTGATGTATGCCTGTGTATATGAAAATATGTTTGAAATACATATTTCGTCTCAGCTTGTCACCGACGCGGCAATACTGTAATGTTTCCATCGAAACTTATGTTTTCTCTTTCATGCTATATAATAATACACATTACATAACATAACTCACCACTTTCATTCGTTTGGACAACCATACGTTCTCCAAGCGGCCCATATCCAACTTTAGTAGAAGCTCGAACAGCAACTGTATATAGCGTTACAGGTGTCAATCCAACTATCTCTGTTTTTGTATTGTCAACACCGGTCAACATTTTGCTCGTACTACAATTAGAAACTGCAGAGCCAAGTGCATAACATACTTCGTATTTGGTTATGACTCCATTTGAATCATCCACACTTAACTTTTTCCAGGTGACTTCCAGTTCGTTTGCGCTCGAAATAATACTACTTATGTTCGGTCCTTCGGCAGGTTCTTAAAAAACAAACATGAATGACTTGAATGAATTCTCAAACAGTACACTTTTCCAAACGAATAATATACCGCCAAAGTTTATTTGGTGATTAAATTCTAATTGGACTACAAAATTAATTTCTATAAAATACACGTTGATAGAAGAGATTTCATAAGAAAAGTTTCGGAAACAATTATGCATTAATGAGACCTACATGGTCACAGGTTATGTTGAGTTTTGGGAAATTTATCTGAAAAAAAAGTTTTCCATTTCTTCCTGCATGGAAATAACAGAACTGCCTCAATAAGACTGTACTAAGTTCTTGAAAATATTCAATAAATACCGCAGTAACAAACTCGTTGAAAAAATACAGGTATGGGGTATACAGAACACAGAAATCAAAACAAACATTTCGGAATCATAGATACAAGTTTGTGCACTATAGAACTGCCATATACTATGATTCTTCCAACATAGTTGAAAAAATGTAATTTAAAAATTCTCTAATAGGTTTGCAAGGCTTTAAAAAATCTTTTTCTATAATTTATTGTGGCGAAACCTGCGGCTTGAACGAACCTGGGACTTAATGAATGCAGATCGACCTCTCACTTGTGAAAAATAAATGTTTTCGTACACAATTATGTGACATCCTCCCCACCCGCACACATTCCTGATTTGATTACAACTTTATACTCATTGGATATTCAAACCTGACGCCCTCGCTCAATCGTAGGATATACCTTATTGCAACTTACCATCCTGGAGAGTTGTTACGTTTTTTATTGCTCCATGTGTCCCATTTCCCTTTGAAGTAGCAGCTTGAATAGCGACTTCGTAGTTAGTGAATTTATTCAAACCATTTAATACTGTGCTTCTGTTGTTAACACCATTAAGTCTTTTCGTGACAGAACATATATAATTTGAAGATGTTTGAGGTTTATAACAAACAAAGTAGTGAGTTATAATTCCATTGGTATCCTCTGCAGGTACCACTCCCCAGGTAACCTGGATCGAAGATGAGCTGGTGGCATTAATTCGCATAATGTTAGGTCCACTTTCAGGCACTTAAAGAGAGAGAAAAATAATTGTGACCTTTTGCCCAACGAATATAAAATCAATGTAAGATAACCGTATACGCTTGCGTAAATGTTCGCACAAATGACAGGAAGTCGGATTTGTAAACAAGAATGAGCAGTGGCGAAGCTATAGTTCAAAATAAGTCGTCAGGCTAAATGACACCGAAAAAATGGCTTTCCTATATGATTTTGACATTGAATCCTGAGCTACAATTTGATCTCAAGAAGGGGAAAAAACTTGGCAAATTTTCCCAAAAATCGCGTTTGATGAAGCATTAGATCCATGAAAATTCTACTGTCAGTTGGGAGGTTAATGTATTGAAGGCCGAATACCTCCATTCGATTTTTGAATGAAAAAGGCGAACTTGGGCTGTTTATACAGATTTTCACACAGACTTGCCAGAAGTCCGCCTCAGAATTTTCTCCTTGCTTTTTTGATGAGTAAAGATGGGATTGGTGCGAGTAGACGGACTTGATTCGCCATTAAGCACACAGTTTTTAATCCAATTCATAATTTTGGCACGACCACACTAGGTGCGGTTATTATAAAAAATAGTACGATGGAAGTGATAAACTCCATCGAAAACATTTGCAAGAGAGCGTTGCGGAAAAAACCTTTGTTTTCAGTGCGGAGAAATCAATTATGTCACTGCATGAATATAGATGCATTAAAATTGATAGTGCATGCAATGAAAATTTTTATTTGCCGTTCTTGTGTTTGTAAAACACGTATATATGCGCGTATAAAAAACCGCCAGAGTTCATTTGGTGATTAATTATAATTGGACCACAAAATTTCTATAAAAAACACGTTTATAGAAGAAATTTAATACGAAAAGTTTCGAAAACAATTACTTCAATGGGACATACATGGCCGCATTTTATGTTGGGTTTTGGGATATTTATCTGAAAAAAAGTTTTCTATTTCTTTTTGGATGTAACAATAAAACTGTATTATAGCAGTATATATAGGTCCAGTTGCAATAAAACTGTAGTATATGTTCTTGAAAACATTCAATCAATACTGTTGTAACAAATTCGTTGAAATAATACGGGTGTTCTATGCTATCGCGAATACAGAAATCAAAACGAATATACGGAATCATAGACACAAATGTGTGCACTATATAACTGCCATAAGTTTCTGTACTAGGTTTGCAGGGCTTTAAAAAATCTGTTTCTATGATTTATTGCGCTGAAACCTGTGGCTTGAACGAACCTGAGACTTAATGAGTGCAGCTCGACTTCACACTTGTAAAAACTAAATGTTTTTGTACACAATTATGTGACATCCCTCCCCCCCACACATTCCTGATTTGATTACAACTTTATACTCATTGGATATTCAAACCTGATGCCCTTGCTCAATCGTAGACTATATACCTTATTGAAACTTACCATCCTGGAGAGTTTTTACGTTTTTTATTGCTCCATGTGTCCCATTTCCCTTTGAAGTAGCAGCTTGAATAGCGACTTCGTAGTTAGTGAATTCATTCAAACCATTTAATACTGTGCTTCTGTTGTTAACACCATTAAGTCTTTTCGTGACAGAACATATATCATTTGAAGATGTTTGAGGTTTATAACATACGAAGTAATGAGTTATAATTCCATTGGTATCCTCTGCAGGTGCCACTCCCCATGTAACGGCGATTGAAGTGGAGCTGGTTGCATTAATCTGTGTAATATTAGGTCCACTTTTAGGTACTGAAAAGAAAGAAATATATATGACTCTTTGCAATTGCGCCTTTTGCAGGTGCTAAAAATTAACGGAAACATCATTAAAATTCAAGGTGGGCTGCGACGAGAAACCGCGCGCAATTTCCTATTCTGGTTGACCTCCGATGTTTCTCACACGAACATAGTGAAGTCAGTTGGAAGTCATTTTCATCGTTCTTTTGGAAATTGTATATACAGGAATACCACTGGTTTAAATGTTATGGCGTGAGGGGGGGGGGTCAATCAGCTTGAAACCAACAATTTAGATTTATGTTTTAAGTTCCTTGTATTTTTTGCATGGTGAATGACAATATCAAATTCGTTATTTTCAATTAATGTATTTACACTGTGTTTGCACACACCCAAGCTGATGATTGAACTGTATAATTAAAGTGACAGTTGACATATATATATATATATATATATATATATATATATATATATATATATATTTATTTATATATATAACTACAGACGGTACCGTTTCGGCCTTTTGGGCCTCATGCATCAGTGTAGTGCTGATGAGCAGGATGAAAGTAACCACTATAATATATATATATATATATATATATATATATATATATATATATATATATATATATATATATATATATATATATATATATATATATATATATATGTTATATATATATATATATATATATA